TACTTCAAAATGTTTCCTTTAGTTTCTCCTCCCCACCATCACCTTTACTAAAATCTGTTTTATTTAACTTTAAAAATATTATGAAAATGTTTTTCTCTGAAGGGTGACTGTTTGGGTGTCACTTACTCAACATCTGAAATAAAGCCATCTGGTGTGCTTGTTACTTCCATCTTCACAGCAGCAGTTAAAAAGCAAAACTAGAGATTTCCTTCAGCTCCTGCTTACCTTTAAATTTCAGACATTTCTCTGCAGATTTTCCTCTCTCATCCTCACTACTGGGATTCAGCCTTGGATTTAACTCACAGTTGCAGGAACTTAACACAACTCACAGACTAAAACAGCCGTGTTATGCCCTAGCAGTGCCTGAAGGGAAAAAGTTCGAATAGTTCCTCACTCTCCTCTGGAGAACATCTAGCCTCCCTAACACATTATCTCAAGAGCTTTTAAAATTCATCTGTTACACATTTGATTGTTAGCATTTGCTTTACACTGAATTTATTATCTTACTATATTATTTATACTAGTATTATCTTACTATAGTAATACCATCCTCAAAAACAACTAAGAGTAGCTAACCTGAAAAAAAAAAAAAAAAAAAGAAAAAAGCCTACCAGCAAGCCACTGAAGGTAAGCTGTCTGCTGCAAGTTCTGGACAAAGACAGAGCCCTGCAAGACATTTCAGAGAAGCATTTACAACATATCAAGTCACAAAGTTAAATTTTAAGCAAGCCAATGTGATGTGCAAAATATTTGCTAAATTGTGCAGCTTTCAGGATCTCAGCACACATTCATAAAGCACACACACAGAGGACTGGGACAGGACAGTCCCACGGCTAAAATAAAGTCAATAATCAAGCCTAAGATAGAAATACATCTACATTTATGGTAAGGTTATGGTGATTGGCTGTGAGAGCCACCAGGCAGCCAGCCAATTCACTTTTCCAGTCTAAGGAAATGCTCAGTTTGTTTTAGAAATGATTTTTTTTTCCAGCTGTGAAGAATGCATTAACGTCACCAAAATGGGCCTGTTAAACAAAAGTGTGGATCTAGGGTTTTGTCAAGAAGCTGAATTGCAAGAGAAAGGATGCACATTTATTTTAGCTTTCCTTTGGAGTGTCAGGAAGGGACTATTCCCAGTTTTCCATATTCACTCCCCTCCAGAGGACAACTGCTAGAGGGACAAATGACTTATAAAAAGTTTCCATTTCCCCTTGGTTTTGTTACATCAACCCTACATACACAGAGACTCCAGGTAAAGAGAGGCTCCTAAGATCTTTTGTTAAACAGAGCTGCAGCCCTGGATCTCACCTGGGTTCAATCACCCACATGCTCCATTCCAACAGTCCTACTATTGACTCTTCTATCACCTCGTGGCGGAGCTTTTCATTTTCCCCTCTCCTTTTTTTTTTTTTTTTTTTTTTATATATATACACTATCATTTACAGCTCTGCAGGCCCCATTATCCAATTACAATTTGCACACCGCGTACCAGAACTCCCTGATTCGTTTTGATTAACACCACGCAGCCGCAGCCTTGCAGGACACCACAGTGAGAAGCAGTGTTTGTAAACACCACTTTCCCACTTCTACGCTGCTGCATCAGCTTCCTCTCTGTGTTGGGCTAATACAGGGCTTCGCTACCACATCACCCAACCAAGGTGCTTTCACTGCATCACTAACCCCAGTGATTATAAGCAGCACCTCAGAACGGGCCGAGAGTGACACTGAACCTTTAGAAGCAGGCTGCATCACACTGCAACAACGCAGCCAATAGCTACAGTCATTACAGAGCATCTCTGGTCCTCAAAACCACAGAACAAAGCATGCAGCTGGTGGGTGGAGCAAGGTCACCATTTTAATGTTTCAGAGATCTGAAGAGAGGTGATCCTCCCCTCTGCTCAGCACTGGAGAGGCCACACCTGGAGTACTGTGTGCCGTCCTGGGCTCCCATGTACAAGAGGGACACAGAACTTCTAGAGAGGGTCCAGCACAGAGCCACTGAGGTGTTTAAGGGCTTGGGGCATCTGTCCTGTGAGGAAAGATTATGTGAGCTGGGCCTGCTTAGCCTGGAGAAGGGGAGGTTGAGAGGGGATCTTAGCAACCTCTATAAATACCTGAGGGGACAATGTAAAGTGGATGGGGCCAAACTCTTCTCAGTGGTGTCCAGTGATAGGGCAAGGGGTAATTGGACTCAATAAGAGCTGATGATTTAAGGACTGATTCCACTCAGATCTTTTAGCAAAAGGATCATCCAATGTTTATAACAAAAATCGTGGAACCAAAAGGGTTTTGAACCAACAAAAAAGAGGAGATGGTGATTGAGTAACCCACCCACAATGCTCTATCTTGCTCTTAAACCGAAAGTCAAATCAGGTTGTTCTGAACATATACGAGGGAGGGAAGAGGCAGAACAGAAAAACAAAACAAAACAGAGTTAGAATGTGAAATAGAATTGCTATACTTTGGGTCTGATTATTAATTTTTTTTTTTAATTAAATCCCCACCCTTCCCCACCTTTAAAATTCAGGTTACTTAGAAAACATGAATCACATAACAAAATGTTTCATTTTAATATGTCTGAAATGTATGTTCTGTATTCTCTCCTATTTTCCTCCCTTTTCATCCAAACCAAGTTGACCAAATACAAGTTTTCTCCCCTAAATTACATTTCAAGGCAAACTTACTGTCTACCGAAAGACAGGGGTATAAGTCAATATACACAAGACAAGAAAATGCAAAATTAGCATGAGGACAATTGTATCGAGGAGTTCATAACCCTTCTCAATTTCAACAACTCCTACATTTAGCATGTAAATGTACCCCAGTCTTCTCTGCAACAGTAATCTTCTAACATGTACTATAGGTCAAAGCATAATTTATGTTTAATGGAACCACTTCAGTTAAATTATATTACATTAATCTAAATTGCCCAATCTTAGCACAAAAGAATTGCTAAATAATCACCAACATGCAAAAACAAACCTAAACAAATCGTTAAAAAAAAAAAAAATCAGTAATTTTTATTAAAAAAAAACCTGCAATAATTTAACAACCAAAAAAAAAAAAAAAAAAAGTGGTAGAAAACAAGTTAGATCTTATGCTTTTTTCCCTCTTTTATTTTCCCTCTAGAATATACAGGTGTATTCAACATTTTGAATTAAGACAAATACAATACACAGGCCCCTGGGTTCCTTGATCATGTTTTATTTAACCTTAACAAATTTTTGTAACCTGGAGAGACTAGTTAAGTTAGCCTTCTCAAAATACAACAGTTTAGAATGTCATAATACCCTAATGGAGTTAGTTTTTCTAGGTGGAAGTAAGCTTCTGGACAGGGACAAAACAGTTTGATGCCAATTAAGGCTTAAATATTATTTCTAGCTTAGTGACTCTCAAAGTCAGAACATTGCAGTAACATGTCCAGATGTATTCCTTAGGCATTTCTACAGCTATTTTTAACAGAATTTGCTATGATCAGTGCACATATATGGACATAGAAGAACAGCAAACCCCCCCCCACAAATCAAAACAGCACAGTGAGTAGGCCAACAACTTCACCTTAGTTCCAAAACCTGTCATTTTCAAAGGCGGAACTGCAAAGAAACTGACAAGTCAGCTTGATACATGTTAACTAGTCCTGGAATTTGATCTTTCCATGCTGTAATCCCTCTTTGCATATTAGAAAAGGTTCAAGGACATCTACTGGTAAGAAAAATAATGCAACATCTCCCATTCTCGCTAAGAGCTTAACTGACACGTGAATCAAACTTTAGATGATGAGAGAATAAAGAAAACAGTCAAAGCTGTCACTTCTACCAGCCAAAAATGCTGCCACAGCCCAAAGATGAGTGCAAAAGATGAAAGCACAACTCTGCAGTGCCCAACAATATCACCTCGGAACAATTAAACAAACAAATTGCTCTCATGGTTTGTATCTATGACATCACCAAAAACCCAAACTGCTGCAGTTATCAGCCATGAGGTATGACTCCAAATCACATGCAGGCACTGTTGTTTTCACGAGAATCTGGTGGCTTTTCAAACTTATCTCAAAGCTACCTACCAAGACAAAAATACTCCACCGCAAAACAGATATACCAACGCACTCAATTACACCTTGGGGAGTTGGGGAGGGGGGGCAGGACAGGACAGGGAAGCATGCAAAGAGTGCATACATCCAACAGACATTTATTAACCTAATGGAAGATACCCAATAACTAGGGAAATAAAAAGACCTAGATGTTGTTAAATACTAAGTGATGCCTGCTGAGGGCCCAGTGACATTAGGTTTTGTTTTCAGGGCAAACCACAACCCCCTAAGTGATGAATTTGGAAACAAGTCTACTGAGCTTTCTGCTGCAGCACCCATCTAGATCTGGGTGGGGCTGTTTGCAGTACCCCATCCGCCCTCACTTGCACACAAACTTCCATTAAAATTAACAGCCCTGGGTTCACCAGCCTTGAGCATGTACCAGTTTGGGTTTGGCCTGCAGGCATGCAACACAGGTACTGCACCAAGGACAGGTTTCTCCCCACCGTACTCCATACTGCCACATGGGAAGGAAAAGAGCTGGTTGTTACAGGATACTCTGAAGGCGTCATCTCCAACGCTGGGTCACTACGGTGTCACCTCCTAGTTTTATGCGGAAGTGATTAAAAAGCCCGAAATATTTAAACCAGACGCTGTTTTTTGATGATATATGAACTCAGCTTATCTGAAGGTATCGAGTTTATCTGCAGGTAGGAGCCACGCCAGCAGAAAATCCAAAGGTGATTCACAAACTACGGAGAAACGGTGCTTAAAACGAAAGCGCCAGCTCAGTTAAAACCATGGCCTTCTCAGGGCAATGGCATCACGTGAAATATCAAGAAATGCGTCGATAACTGACAGCGCCCTGTTACTCCTAACGCTACCGAGGAGGCCAGCAAGCTCCTGGCACTTCAAACCACTAAAAGTTTGCAGAAAACAAAGTGGCTACAGCTAGCTACAAAGCCGCAGCCGCCCTTTTGATGAGCTCAGCCTGCCCCAAATGCCTGCGGATTGAGGATTCCCTGCCCCAAACCCGGCATCTCCCGCAGAGAGACAGTGCCCTCGGCGGGGGGCTGCAGGAAGGGGGCTGCCTCGGGGACCCTCACAGCGCCCAGCCCGGTCCCGGCTGCCTCCCTCGGCGGGGCAAGGACGGCGCCCGCCTCCGCCAGGCCCCTCCGCTCCCCGGCGGGCCCGCCTCGTGTTTACCAACATGGGAGGAGCCCGGCAGGAGCCGCGGCGCTTTCGCTTCGCCGGTGGCTGCGGGACGGCGCTGGGGCATGGCCCGGGGACTCCTCGCCCTGCTCCTCGTAAGTGGCCGCCGGGCAGCGGGGCGGGACGGGGCGCTGCGGGGCGGCCGGTCGGTGACAGGGAAACTTCTTTTAGCTGCAATCGAGGCGAATTGCTTAAGTCTGGTGGTGCGCGCGGTTGTTTTGTTTGTTTGCTTTTAATTTTACGATCCCCCGAGCTGTGCTCGCCGCTGCCGCAGCTGCAGCAGGAGGGCAGCAGGAGGGCAGCAGGCGCCGTGCAGCACCCGGGGCCGGCTGCTGAGGGCTCTCGGCCCCGAGGAGAGCCGGGCAGGGCTGGGCAGGGCCGTGCCGGCAGCCCCAAGCGAACAGCTGAGCTCTGGCCCCCTGCCAGCAGCGAGGCAGGGAGGGCTGGAGAGGCAGGCGAGGCTGAGCACGGTGAAGTGCTGGCGTTTACCGGCAGCGGGGCAGGGCCTTCCTCTCGCTCGGGACGAGGCTCGGCAGCTTCAGGGCTCGGGTCACCCGGCTGAGTTTGTTGGTTATCGCTCCCGTTGCGGAGGGCTGCTGCCAGCGAGGGAGGTAAGGAGGTGCTGCAGTACAGGTGGGTTAGAGCTCCAGGTCTAGGACCTCTAGAGCTCCAGCATCAGGCTTGGCCAAAGACCCTGGCACGGGCAGCAGAGGGTGAGCAGGGACCCTGCCCGTGGCAGCGATCCCTGTGCCGTAGCAGAGCCGAGCCCTGCATGTGCCTGGGGTACAGGTTGTGCCCCCAGCCTCACTCCTCGCCTCCTCCAAGAACTTGCTGGGATTCCCACTGCAAGAGGCGTCAGTGTGGTTACACTGCTAGTGAGCAGTGGCCGCCTGGGGGGAGGCAGGTTATGTTCTGGTGGTCAGGCAGAAGTTATTCAGTGCCTCATCTGATTTGAGATGCAACCCGTCATAAACAAAGTGATTTATAAGGTTCTGCACAAAGCACCAGGGCGTAAATACAAAGAAGAATTTTCAGCTGCTGAGGGAATTGTTTATTATCTGTACCTGTACGGGAGCAGCAAACAACTGGCAGAAGTGTCAGTCTAGTTCAGTATCTTAGAACTACTCAGAACATAATTTAAGATAAAAACACCTTCTCTTACCTACTCCCAGAAAAGAAAGATCATTCCTATTCTTACATTCCAATTGTTTCCAAGTTTTGCTATCCTTTGGAAAGACTGCAGCTCTCCCACATGCATTCTATTGAATATATATATATATACACTATATAAACATATATATATATATATGTTTAACTAGTATGTTGTTCCACTACTTATAAAATCAGTAAACCTGGACAACATTTGACTTGCTCACTTGATTAATCCAGACCGTGAAAGTAGATTGTTGAATTAAACCTCAATTTTGCAAGCAACTCCATAGTGCACCGAAGTAGAAGCAGTTGCAGAGCAATACAGCAATGGCCTGTATAGCTAGAGAACATCTAACTTTGCCCTGTAAAACAGGCCACAAAACCACATACCATTCAGAGATGATGTAGAGGAACAGGCCACCGCAAGACAGTGAAATGTTACATAAATACTTCGTAAAGTTCTGATGGAATTATTTACAAAGCAGGCGGTCTTCTGGAAGAAGACATGCCTTTGGAAACAGGACTCCTACTCTACTATGCTGACCCTTATTTCTTATTTCCCACAGGACTAATGCACATTTTAAATGTATACACATAGGCAGCCATAAAGCCGTGGGATGACCCAAGACTCGAGTGAAGAGTATAAGCACTCCAATTCTGAAAATGCTTATCTGCTCGTGTTTCCACAGTTAACTGTCTTTATATTTGAGGCAACTCACTGAGCAAAGAGAAAGAAGCTACAAGCAAATCGTATCATGTTACAAAAGGAAAAGGGGGAAAAGTTTGTAATTTCTGTTCTGTCCATCTCTTACTCACCCTTAGCCACAATATCATCAAATTGAGGTGGAAGCTGTTAATACTGTTCCAAGTCTCTTTAATTCAATAGTATAGTATTTAATAGTATTTAATTTAATAGTGTTTATTAGCACAGTGCTCCTAAAAGCACAAAATTAAAAACAACCAACCAACCATAGTATCCTTATCCCCCATTATACTGCTGTGAATTGCACGTGAGACAGCTGAGATGTGAAATAGTAATGGACTGAATTTGGACAATTACTTTAAGACATGACAGTAACTGAGGGTTAGTAGTCTTGCAGGCACTGAACCCATGAACCTCACTTAAAATTTCAGGAGGCTACGATGCTTCTATCTGTGGGGAAATACCAATTCTCATTGCTAGGCTCCAGAAAACAGAACTGCACTTAGTCCTTCTTATAAAAGACTTTAGAATGTAAAGACATACTGTTTTTAATGGCTATTTTGGTGCTAACTACCATTTTCCGCCTTCGTGGGAGAAAAAAATAGATGGGGAAAAATTGATCCTAAAGATAGCGGAGGCAGAAATGAATGTCATACTAGAAAAACTAAGTAGAGAGTCCTCTTAACTAGCAGTGTAAATTCATTTATCTGACGAAGCCATCCTGAAAGGGGTTAGCACAAGGGAAAATAATTACATGGAAAACTGTATTAAAATTGAGCTAACTAGCAACCATTTGTCAAAGAAATACCAGAAGCAAATCAAAAATTAGAAAACAAGTTTTTCTTAGCTCCCATTATTCAAAAGAGCAAGAAAAATCCTCCCACACCCACCTGTTTGTTTTGTGTTTTTTGTTTTTTTTTAAACCACTTAGAAAGCCCCGATGAACTAATGCACATTACCCCATATAATAAATGTTGGAGGAAAAAAAAGGCCACCGAGTGCTGAAGGCATCACCCTTCTCATCTGTAGGCATTTATGGGAGAATCAGCTGACAAAAGTCAAATGTAGAGGTAACAGGAGAAAGAGAGGATTTTTTACTTAGAGGGTGAAATGTTGTAAAGCTCTCAAAAGGCCTTCATGCAAATAACATATTCACATGCTTCCAAAGTGATCTTACAGCCCCACAAGATGAGTCTGCTGAAAGGTTTGCATCCAAGGACGTTGACCCATTATGAAGAATACTCGGATGCAGAAAGAATTTGAGGACAGAGTCCCAAAATCACGTGACTTGCAGGAAAATAAAGCTCCTGTCGCTGCCCTGGGAGCACAGATGAAGCCAGGTTTTCTACATCTCCTTAGCAGATGCCTGTTACTGAAAGCATTTAAGGATGCTCTAAGAAGGAAGGAAAGGAGGGGAGAGAAAACATAGAAATGTCTCACTCAAATGCTTAGGCATTTGAAAAGCAATGCAAAATGAGTGAAACCAAAAAAATAGTGCCAATGTGATAATTCTTACGGATTCTGCTAAGGTTATATACCCCTGATTGCTTCTACTCCTATGGGCTGCTCAGTTCACTCCATCTTTAGGTTTGACAACAGTTTTTAGTTTACTATGAGAAAGGTAGAACAGACCCTCTGTGAGTCATTTTGGACTGAAAACGCACAGCCTCCCTTTAAATATACTCATCATAAAAAAGTACCTATCACCCCTGCCTCTGAAAACCCCTGCAATGCTTTCCGCTAGTAGCACTTGCTGCTCAGCAACAGCAAAGAGGGGAATTGAGGTATGCTCCGGAAGCTAAATGACTACTGACTTTTTTTCCTATATGAAAGGGCAGACCAACACTTTTGTATAGCAAATTGAATGATTTTAAGAGGGTGCAAACACAGGAGGAGAAAGTTTTTTTTTAAATTAGGGTATTACTTTGAAAGCTAAAATCTCCAAAAGTTTTCTTATTATTCCTTATGCAAGAAAGCACTGCAGGGAGACTTCACAAGCTGAAGCTATGTAGGCTGTTGGGGCTGCTTAAAAGTCAATTTCTGAGAAATGTTCCCCACTTCTTCTAAGTGTACCAGGAAGTTCACCTCTACAAGTGACAGTGGAGGGCTTCCATCCAAAACAAATAAACAAACAAAAAAACTAACCACCACCACCACACTGCTTCCCTCCTAACTCTGTCAGCCTAGCTTGTCAATGTAAGCTTGAGTTTTGCTCGAGGGAAGCTTGTCCATGCACGCACATGGTTGAGCAGACCCTAGAAGCAATTGTACTAAGTTTTATTCATAATAGTCATTTAGAAAGAGTGGTTTTTTTTTCTTTAATTTTACCCTCTTTCCTACACAATTCTCTATACCTTTTTGTTACACTAGCATAGCTCCGAGTCTCCTCTTTACTCCCCAAAAGCCACAGGTGCTGCTTCACAGCTCTGATGTGGAAGATGCATGTGCCAGAGCAGGGTGGGTAGCTCCCCAGTGGGCACAGAGCTTGGCCAGGTGCTGGGCAAGGGCAGATGAGGAGGAAGGAACCAGCCTAGTGCTGCTGCAGGGTAAAGGGTGGCAAGAAGCGGGCAGGCACCTCCGAGCGCTGGCTGTGTGCTCGGGAGCAGGTCGGTGCTGTGCCACTTGTCCCCGCTGAGTCACAGTTCCTCCATCAGAGGGGAGAGACCGAGCAGTCACTTCCCCACCGACTTCCTTATGCTGTGAGTGCTGCTCACATCTGCCCTCCACGTGCCCCAGCCACGCACCTGCACGTGGGATGGAAAGCCTGGCACCATCGGGCTTTCTGGGGCTGTGATGGCTGCCTTGGGGTTGCCAGAGCCACCGGCCCTGGCCTCTCCACCCTGTTCCCAGACCCTCACTCCAGTCGGGGTGTCACAATGCTCCTGGTTCAGCTCGAGAGACAGTGCAACCATCCCCTCCCATCCCTACACGTGGCGGAGGAGCAGAGGCGAGGGGCTTCACCCTCATCCAGGGAAAGCCAAGCTAGGCTGGATGGCAGCCGCCCCGCAGGGCTGCTGTCCAGGCCTGGCTCCCAGAGGTGGTGTGCAGCTGGAAATACAACCCTCTCTTTTTCAGCAAGTTCCGATAACTACAAGAGTTTTCTACATCTAGCTACAGTTACAGCGGGCATCCAAACAGTTTCACACAACTTCATGAAGACTGAATGAACCAACCATTAAATATCACCCTCTGTCACGGAAAATAAGTAAATAAAAGTCTAACAGTAAAAATAACCAGTTTTCAAACCAGGAGAAAGTTGCTTAAATATGTATATAGCATGTCCTTTGCTGTCAGCATTAATAAACAGTCTAGTTTGTATTAAGCTGCAAGTCAAATCTAAGCTAACCATTCAGAATTAACCTCTTTCATATAGTCAATTATTCAAGTTAAGGTATTTTTCATACTGATTTAAAATGCAAGCAAATGTGTGATTAGCAGGACTTCTGTAGCCCATCCACTGTGCCATGGGTATGAAGACTACACATTTTATTGTGTCTCATTACCCTCTAATCCCTTTCTGAAAAAAGGGACCCTATCCCTCTCCTTCATAACTGGCCTGTTCTTTCATTTTGCCAAGGACAATAGCACTGGTCCTTTTGTTTCCAGGCCTTATTTTCCCCTTCCCCTCATAATTTATATTTTTATGTCTATTGTGAATTAGGAAACGGTATTCTGTAATTAAAGGAGGAGCAAGAACAGCAAATATAGAGCTTAAGTTTGCAGTTAAGACTGAGAACACTTCAAGGCAAGGACTGTCTTATTTTTTTTCCTGTTACAACTCCACACAGATAGTATCAGAAAAATAAAAAGGTCAAAATGTTCAAATCAGTCCATAATATCAGCAGAAACTGGGCTAACTACAGGCAAGTTTTCATTTAACTCTTCTGCATAATAATATTTCTGGGATGGAACCTAGTTCTCCAGCCAACGAGCTGTCAGCTCATCACATAGCTCTGCTATGTAGACAGGAGACATGTCATACTTAGCGCATGCAAGTCATCTACAGAATTTCCCACAAACTATTGTGAAGAGTAACGTAAATCATGGTAGATCCATCCTTCTCTTTCCCTCTTTACACCCAAAAGAGAAACAGGAATAGTTTGGCCTCTCTCTGGTACACAGTACTTTTTTTTTTTTTTTTTTTTTTTTTTACGATGAAGAGAGGGGACAGTGATTGCTAGTAAAGTTACTATTGACTAGTAAAATAGGAGAAAAAAAGCATCATACAATTTAACTTGAGAATGCATTCAAAGAAATGGAACAGCAGCATAAATTAGTTTGGAAGACGAATTATATTCTTTTAGAACTATATAGGCATCATCTGCTAAGGAAAAAAATAATTGAATTGGAAAACAAAGTGAGAACGAGAACTTCAGTAGGGGGTGAATATGAATATTTTAATGTAATATTCATTTTTATGAATTTTTTTGTAATATTTCTATGAATATTTTTAGTAACGGAATGACAATGCTGATGTAGCTCTGTGCTAGTAGTAACATGCACCTACAGTCCTTGACAGTTTCTTGTATAATTTGATGTTCTTCTCTCCTAGGTGGCTGTCTTAATTATTGAAGCAGAGTGTAAAAGTGATACTGAACATCCCATACATGTAGCATACAATAGATCTATTACAAGAAAGAGGATCATTGCTAAGAGGGAAATTAAATGTACTGAGGATGAGTACGATTTAAATGGTCAGTGTTGCAAGAAATGCGAACCTGGTGAGTATGACGACTTTTCAAGACAGCCTTTAAAAGTGGAAACCACAACATGCACAACTGCTTTTTGCTAAGATAGCTACATGGCATGCTGTGGCTTTCTGGTTGCAGTGCTTCTGTCTGACCATATCTTTCTCTATTACAGGACATCAGATGCTTCAAAAGTATTTCTTGAGCTCAGTGCACCAATAACTTCTCACCACAGATAGCAGTTCATACATTACATGCTCATGACACAAAAAAAAAATAATCCTATATTACTTAATACAGCTTTCAAAAAGTTTTTAAAAGTGCAAACACAGGGTTTTGCCAACAAGATACTCCATGCATTCATGGGTTTTTGAGTTTTACACATTCAATTTTGTTTGGTGTGTTCTTCTCCAGTAATAAATTGGAGGAAGAGGGAAGGATAATCAGAACTTGATGTATACTACCATCCTGAAAAACACATATGTATGCATAAAGAATATGGATTGTTTGTATTTGTAAATCAAAAGGTATTAGGGATTAAAACTAAAACCTGATAGAGGTGTTACAGCTGATGGCTTTTGTCCAAAGGTATAAATCTTATTCGTGTTTCTCTGTCTCTACAGGTTACATTAAAAATATTGACTGTCCAACAAACATTGGAGAACACTGTGTATCATGTAAACCTGGAGAGTACATGGATCATGCCAATACTTTGGATGAGTGTCAGAGATGTACTTCATGTGACAGCGAGTTTGGTATGTTTATAGAAATAGCAGTGAGTCTTACGTGAGACAAGATTGAACTGAAAAGTCTCCATAATTCCCGAGCAATGGATAGCATGCAGAGTAAATTGTTTTAGTAGTAAGATATGGAGGACTTTATTACAAAGTCATACGTTTATCCTCTAGTTTCTTTTTGTTAAGTACAAAAAAGGATGAAGAACAAGCTATGTTGGTCTATTATTTCTCCTTATATCTGCCTTTGCTCAGCTAGGAAACGTTTGGAGAGTAACATCTCACCTCTTTCCACACTTGCCTCTACGGCATCTTTCTTTACTTTGCACAGAGGCAGATAACCTACCTGTTCCAAGATACCCTGATGTTGCTAGTTGGATTTACAGTAGTTAATGCTTCTTCACCAGCCTCAACTTTGGATTATGATATGTTCCTGTCTCACAAGCACTGTAATATTTTAGGAGTTATATTGAAGGACCCTACAGATAATGCATTTATTTGGTATGTAGTAGCCTACTTGTGGCCAGCATGACAAGAAGCATCTCTCAGTAAGTTCACTGATAATGCAGTTGGAAAAAAAGAAAAAGACAGGATTCTACACCTTATTTTCTTTATCAGCCCTGAGGATACCAATAGCTTGTAAGTTCTGAGGTCTTGTGTTCCCAAAAGCCTTTTTTGTCCTCACACGCCCTCATTAAGTACATAACTTGATCTAACAAAAAAATTGTCTTACTAGATAGTTTTCAAAGTTATGGTGGAGATGTGAACTAGGACATAAGAATCAGCTTTGTTTTCCCAAAGACATTCAGTTTTGAACACGGGCTTTTCTCCTTGAAAAGGAGACCTTATACAGACTGGTTAGGATCAGTGAAGGAAAGTTTGCTCTCTCTTGTTCATCCTCTATATAAAAGAAAAAGGGTGTTGTAAGAAGCAGAGAAGGGAGCATTCCCAGTGATTTCTTTTGTATTCTCTCAAGTAATAGATAATATCTAAAATTTCTGGAGCTGACAGAGTGGTGTTTTTGATACATCCAGTGTGCTTTGTGGGATATAGGATCAAATCACAAAACTATAAGGCATGTGGCGTGCCTTAGTGGGTCAGGCCAGTGGTCCCACCATCCCAGTATTTGGTGAGCAAGAGATGCTATTTAAAGAAAAAAAAAACACCCACAAACCTAATTTCTTTGTTCTGTTCCCTGCAAAGTCTCCTAGCATCCACATTTATGGGAGGGAACATTAGAAAGTTCACCTCCACATAGTCAATTATAATCCATTTATGAGCCCTTTGTGCCTGTTGGGGGACACCAGGTTCCAGGAATTCACTATCCAATGCATAAATAACCAGCATAGATTTTTTTTTTTTTAAATCCATTAAACTGATCTCCTACCAGTTTCACCAGGTGTCCTGTAGTTCTAGTATAGCTGAACTTGCAGAATGATAGTTCTGCATTCTTCATATCCAAAATACAGTTTGGTAACCAGAGAGACAGCTCTTAACTCCAGTATGGTTGTTCTCAGAACACCTTTAGGAATATAAAGTTAGCTTTATATGTAGTTAGCTTTACATTAGCTACTATAACAAGCATTTTTAGATGGGTAATGAAGATTACTGTAGTGAAACAATTCAGTTTATGTACAGTGCCACAAAGGAAGCTAGTTAGTACGAAACTAATTAGAATTAGTTAAAGCTAATGGGATGACTCTTTTGTATGGGATAATGCGAGTAATGCTGTTGAAGAGAAGTTAGTAGAAAATATTAAGCAGGAGGAAGAGAACTGTTCTTAGGATCATTCATGTTTGGTATTTTCATGAATGGCATCAGCACTGGTTTAGCAGTGGAGTTAACCAAATTTTCGAGAATTCATTTTCCTGTTACAGCAGGTCACTGAATGTGCTAACTCAAAAAATCCCTTCTGGTCCTATATACCAATGAAAATAGCTTTCATAGTAGATAAGTCTACTTACAGAAATTCTTTATGCAGAAATATTTATTTCTTAAAGTGATCTCTTTCTCATATACATTGAGGACAGGAGAAAATTAATACACTTGTTTTAATACTTCCTATTGAGGGTTCTCAGGAAGAGATAAAAACTTGCTATCTGGGGACAGGGACAAAAAAGTAATTGTCTCAGATGTAAAGCTGAGAGATGAGTTACACGATCTTTTGTGGTCCCTTCTTTATACTTATGGGAAAAAGAAGCTGACAAGTTTGTAAGTGCCAAACGAGTCCTCTAGCAAGTACTTTGTTGTGTGATCAGTTTTTTCGAGATATCGGCCAGCAGAGGTCTCTCTCTGCCATCCTTGTGTTTCCAGTACTCCCACAGCAAGGTTCCTTATAAAAGCTACATTCTACTTACTAAGGGTCTCCAGTACTGGCAGCGGTAGAGCTAAAAACACACTGGTCTGACAAGAGCTTGTGAGCAGAGGCCTATTTTTTCAAACTAACAAACTTTAAGAATTCGTTTTAGGTTTTCGGATTGAAGAGGATTGTAACAGAAAACAGAACACAAAATGCGCCTGTGCAGAGAACTATTTTTGCAGTTCTGTACCATGTACTACGCATTGCGAGCCATGTACCACGTAAGTTTATGTTTTCATTGTTAAATATAAGAGTGATAATATATTATCACACTTATTTCCAGACTGCTTCAAGACTGGGCTAAGATAATGTTAACCTGAGGGAAAATATACTAGTTTTCCTTTGCACTTAGTTTGTTCAGCTGGCTTAACTCAGTCAAAATAACTTGCATGCATACAAGCTTTCCAAAGGCATGCCTAAAAATCTGTTTACATCCAGCAACTCTATATAGCATTTCCAAAATAATTTAATGTCGTGTATAAGCTTTCCTATTGCCTTTTTGTGATCTCCTGTTACATCTAGAAAATCATTTCCACACTTTTCGCCCCACACTATTTTCACACCTGTTAAGTTCTATACTCTAACATTCTGTTATAGGACTCCTTAGCCAACAAAAAGCATTAGAAGATTTTTATTTGCTCTTTTGATACTTTATAAAGAGAGAAACAAATCCCACAATAACTCATCTTTTCTGCAGATGTGGAAGTGCCCCAGTTGAAGAAAAATGTACTCCAACTTCAGACACTGTGTGCGGAGTGGAAGGTACCATTTTAGACCCTAGCATGGTCTAGCATCTGCTGCATTTTGAGAGGCTATTGCAATTGTCATGTTTTACACAATGACCCATAGTGATTCCTGACTGCTAAGGGGATTGTATCTGCTGGGCCCTGTACTGACCTATGAAGCACGATTGCCCTTTTCTTCTGATCACAGTAGAGATACAGGAGCTATTACTCCTTTCTGGGGTTGACTCACAATAGTCAAGACTTTAACAAAGTGCCATCAGGAGTCAACAGAAGGGCCTCTACAATCTGATGCAATCTTGTTAAAAAAATAGTGTATTGCTGTATTGTGTTTCTTGGCTTAGCTTTCATGTAACGTTTCCAATGTTCCAACAGGAATGCCATCATGGGGCATTGCAGCTGTGGTCATATCTGTGATATTATTATTAGTAGGATCTGGAGCACTATTAATATTCTGTAAGTGATTCCCCTTTTCGTTATTCCTAACATACTCTGAATAAGATATTCAGCTGCTTACTCAGATGTAATTTTATATTCTTGGAGTCCAGAGGAATATAGTGACCTGGATTTTAAGAGTGTTTTGTGTTTTTTTGTTTCAGGCAAGAGAAAACGTAAGGGTCTTACTTGCCTGGAGAACCCAGGTGAAACACTCCCTGAAACAGTAAGTGGTATTGCTTAGACCAGATAAAACTCAGCTTGATGCAAGGGAACTTTTTTCCATTTAAATTAGCCTGGTACTGCCTGAGTACGTGCATGCCTCTCTTCTATGAGATCAATGAATCATAAGGAATCTCAGGAGAAGTAAGAGAAATTCTGGGTTATTTCTTCAGGGTTTGTCGTTGTGCTCAGTTATGTGACCCAGATGAAAACCTTACAAAGCATCATACCTGCCACTGATCTAGGGTACCTGCTCCCCATGTGTATTTTTAGGCAATAGCAATTGTGAGGTGATTCCCCAAGCTTCCCAAGTCAAAATGTGTCCAGTCTGATTCCCTAGCTCATAGAATAGGGGAATAATCGAGAAAACTGTGTCATGACATCTGTTTATCCATGTTTATCTGTTCATACATGGTTGGTACTTAATAAAAACATCATGTACTCATTTCTTGCTTTCCTCTCTTTTCAGACTATACCACTTGTATATACAGGTAAGAAACAGGTAATTTTTCAAAATTTAGTAGAATAAACAAAATACAAACATGTAAATCCTACTCTAAAGAAAGGGTATTTTTGTGTAGACTGTGCCACTTCCTAGAGCTGTCACTCAGCACAACATTGAACACTTATTAAAGAAATGCCAGCTTATAATGTGCTTGTTAAGGCACACCTTTTGCCTCAGGTCTGTTGTATAAGAAGCAACTACTAATTGACAATAGGTGGATTTCTTTTCTGCTTACAGCACAGACAACAGGAGGCAGCAAGCTGGATTTCTAAAACCATGGATAATTTTAATAATGGAGTAGCCCTACAGCCAGCAGTAGAATCACAAAAACACAATCCTACCTTATGTTCAAGGGCAAAACCACAGTGGTAACACTTCATAGGAAGAGAATACAAGCTCCAAGGTTATTATCACAAAAAACCTGTCCCATTCCAAGACATTTCCCAATACTGTTTAGAGCAAAACAGGTACAGGAGTCATGACCAGGCTTGGATGATAGAGAGGAATGAAGAGGTTACAGAAGGAATTTAGTTCTTTTTAAGATGCTAGAAAGCAATATGGTTACAACCCTGGATATTTCAATTATCTTCATTTGGTAGGAATGTGTAAAAGCAGACCTGAAATATATTGCAAAATCACACATAAAGCATACAGAGTCATGAATACCTGAAACTTGGCCTGTTTTGTATAGAAAAAGTATTAACTCTAAGCATAGGTGCTTAAACAAGCAAAGAACAGTAAGATTTCAGTGCCAAGAGCATTCATTTCCTTTTATGCTTCTAGATGTTGACCTGAGCAGACATATCCCTATTATTGTGGAGGAGATGACACTCCAACAAGTCAAGAAGTTTGTCCGTTATCGACAAATATCAGATCCTGTCATTGATCAAGTTTTGCAGGACAACTTTAATGATGCATTTGAACAGAAGATTAAGCTGTTTCAAGCCTGGTATCAAAGTCATGGGATGAAAGGAGCCTATGGAACCCTACTAAGCAGCCTGAGAATGTTAAAAATGCGTGCTGTAGCTGATAAAATTGAGGAAAAGCTGAAGACAGTTGTTTCTAGCAATCAGGAAGGCGGACAATCTTATAATGATGATATTGAGCAAAGCAAAGCCTGTCATCAGGAAGATGAGAAATCCTATCATGATAATGCTGAGCTAAGTAAAACCTATTCTGATAGTTTGGAGGAGACATAGCATGGAGTCATTTGAAAATTATTTCTGACTGAAGTAGTATTTTTTAAGTATTACAGCTAACAAACCTTTTAAATGCCATTTTTGGCTTTTAAGGTGTGAAGGTTTCAAGGTAGTTATAATACAAACGAGGAATAATTATGATTTTTGTGGAGGTGTGTTTCCTTTAAAAGAGTCTTACCTGTTGATTTTGATTGTTAAGAACTGGGAGGATAAGTGTTCTGGCTTAGTTAATAACAGTAGCAATCAAAGATTTCTACTATAGGACTTGCTACAAAAAGAAAATACTAGTCATTGGCAGAAAGGTTTAGTCCAAATGTGTGGTCCTGCATGCAAATCAATGGATTTCTTACATTAAAGTTCTGGAAAGTTGCATTTTTGAAGGTAAAAACTCCGGTGTTAAGAGTTTATGCAATGTACGATGTAGTATTAATATATAATCACATTTTGCCCTGTTGTAAATGTGATTTCTTCCTTGTGTGAAAGCACCTGTGTGTGTATATTTATATCAGTTTTCTATGTCAAATCCCCCAGCGTTAAGTAAAAGTATTATTTCCCTTATTATCTGCACTGACTTCAAGCGTATTTTGATGTTAAAACCCTTGAAGGAAGCAGAAACAGGAGCTGGTGTAGCACAACAAAAACATGGATTTTTGAAGGCAACCTGCACCAGCTGTAAAAGTCTCCAGACCCAGTCATGCAACAGCCAACATTATCTTTTCTAATGCAGGAACTGGTACAATGAAAATACCATTAATAAAATAAATAAATCCAAGTAGCACATGACTTCTCTTTTCCTTCTTACAAGGTAATCTATACATATCATCTTTAAGTTTTATTTTATTCAAATCAGTAAATCAAAAAGGGGAGTTTTAGGTTAGATGTTAGGAAGAACTTCTTTACCGAAAGGGTTGTTAGACACTGGAACAGGCTGCCCAGGGAAGTGGTGGAGTCACCATCCCTGGAAGTCTTTAAAAGACTTTTAGATGTAGAGCTTAGGGATACGGTTTAGTGGGGACTGTTAGCGTTAGGTCAGAGGTTGGACTTGATGATCTTGAGGTCTCTTCCAACCCAGAAATTCTGTGAAAAAGGGAGATCATTCTCCTGGGGAAGAAGGAAAAAAAAAAAAAAAAAAAAAAAAAAACAAAAAAAAACAGAACAACATACCTGTCTTTCATCACAGATCTCAAGAGGGCTCCTCAATTCAAAGACTAGCAGTACTGAGCTACTTTGTAGTTAAAGCCTTTCCTGCTCCCACACCAATTCATGCAAAGTCTCACAAAACCTTTTGGCAGAAAAGGAGACCATCCTAGAACAACCTGATTTATTTATTTTTTTTTTTCCTAGATCCACCTGTTAACAGGATAACCTTTTCTTTGGCTCTTCCATCCATTCCCTAGGAGGGAATCTCCAGTTAAGTGCCAAGCATCAGCCAAAACACAAGAAGACCTGCCTGAGGCTGCTCCTGGCTGAGCAAGTGTTGTCAGGTGGGGTGTGTGGACAAGTCCAATTGCTGCCACCTGGCCCCAGGGTGCGGAAAGGCCAGGACAGGCATGCCAGCAGGTGCTTGGAATCAACCCCAGGGCAATGCTGCGTGTCCACAGCTGCAGCAGGGCTGCTCCCAGAGGTCATGCTGCTGGCAGGAGCAATGTGCCTGCCAGGGCAGCACCCAGCCCTTGAAAACAGATGGAAATGCAGCCATGGTTCTGTGTGTTGTACTAAGTTGAAATGAAAAGCAGGGTTTACGTTAGTAGCTTCAAAACCTGTTAGACTTTTATAGACTTGTGGACTGTGCAAAAGCCACTGAGCCTATTCTGTTGCCAAGCCATGACCTGGTTCAGGATGCACAGCTCTTCCTCAGTTCTCAAACACCACATAGATGCTAAGTGCTTGGAAAAACCTTCCCGCCAGCTTTGCAGCCTCTTGCTTCTAATCTTTCTGCATTTTCTACATGACCTAACAAATTAACATTACACTGATTTGCTGGCTATGCTGCCAAAATCCCTACACTGTGCTGCTTTTCAAAGGAGAACATTCAGGCAGCTGTAGCTGGACAGTTTAATATCTATGCACCTATGCACCTGAGTTGGGCATCTATGGACTAACTGCAGGAGCTGATTAAGGCACAGCATTGTGCCTTGTGATCTAACATGCTGGGACAGCGTGCTGCTCACTGCTGTCTTTTGGCCAGACTCCACATATACAGCAATAAATTATTGTGACAGAATAAAATGTCTGCCTTTTGGCAAAGCAGCACAGCACTGGCATAGGCTGTGCCATATTGACTTCCTCGGCTGCGGTTGTGCAGAAATACAGCTGAGAAAGGAAGGAAGGAAAGCTCCATTCTCTCACAGCCCCTGGTAGACAGACTGCTCCCTGCACCATGTCCCACCTAGGAAGGCATAAATGTCACTTAAAGGTATGTTGGCATTTGCTTGACGTGAGCACTGGGTTTTCTTGGCATCTGGCTTCATCCCTTATAGCGAGGGATCTGGCCACCAGAAACCAAGATTGTTAGGACTTCAGCGTCAGTTAATGTAACTGGGCTGAACAAGACAAATCTCAAAATGGATGCAGCAAATCTCATAAGTTTGTGGTAGTGAAATAAAACGTGAATTTTTTGTTTCAACACACTGGAATTCCCCAACCTCAGTACAATGTGGATGGATAAAAAAAATAAAAATAAAAGTCCCTGAGCAATGAGTCATTTTCTCCTTAGTAGACCTCTGTAAGACTGAACCCCAGCTGCCATGAACACTAGTGGTTAGCATACGTTGCTTTTTTTTTTCTTAACCAGAACATTGTGCAACAAATAAAATGACTGATGATGCTGTGCAGCTGGTTTTTCAAAGCAACGTGTATGGTCTATGTTGTGGTGCAAAGCCATCTGATCGAGCTCAAAGTAACTGGACCAGAAGCAATCTAGTTCTGCTGAGGCATGTTAGCACACCCAGATTTCCATTTCCTCCTGCTTCTGGCCTCAAACTTGGGCTGCACAGGGAAATAATTCTGAGCAGGTTATGTTAGCAGTTTCACCTTTTGCTCTCACCAGTTCCCTCTCAGAAAGTGCATGGAGTGCCATGCTGCTGAGAAGGCTGCTGCCACCTTAGGTGCCTGCTGAAACCTTTCTGGTATCTTTACCCCATGCCCTGCAATCTCCATACTTGCAGGGCATACAATGACTAAATGACTAGCCTCTTTCTCCCCTGTGACAAGGCTGGGTAAGCAGACAGCCATGTAAAGTAACTCTTTTCTCAGCCTTAGGTAGGATAACAAAAACAAAAACAAGAAAGAGAAAAAGAAAGCAACAGAAATGTCTTTGACAAATGAAACTCTCCTACTCTATGGAAACCCAGCATCAGAAAAGCAAATGGAAACTGAAACAAAAACTTTTCCAGGGAATGAGTTGACACATTTTTGAAAAGCAGATTTGAAAGGGGAAGCTCTGTCTTCAGGAAATAAAAACTGTGCTAAACACTTGCATTATGACTTAAAGAGGAAAAAAGAAAAAGAAAAAGAAAAGAAAAAAAAATAAAAGAAAAGAACATTTGTTATTTTAAAATAGCAGCAATAGAGGAACCGTATCATAGGAATAAAAGGCCTGAGGGATGATCTAGGTTCAGTCCCCTGCTGACTGTAAATGACCATACAAGAGCCAGGGTTGCCCAGAAGCCCCACATGCTCCTTCTCTGTGTGCACCCACCCCATCCTCACCCACACTGGGAACCACAGAATAGCTCCTGCAAGCAAGCTTGGCACCTGCAAGAGGACAGCAACCAGATCACTGTGGCAGTGTGACACCAGGGGAAGGCATGAGAGGTCCAAGACAGTTCCATTTGCAGTACTGCTACACTGTGAAACTGCTAAAGTTGTACTGCAAGCTGCCAGTTCATGAAAAGGCATTGCTGAGAAGTGAAGAGCAGAACACAAACAATCCAAAATGTGTCTTTGCAGACAGCATGACAAGCATATTAAAGCATGAGAGAGCTGTAGGCTTATTTCCTGTATGGAGAGGAGGGAAGGAAAACAATACAAACAAATCTGTGAGAAAAACAAAACTGTATTGGGAAAAGTCCCTGAGTTGGACAGATTTCTTTTTTGAGGGAAGATACAACCTCAAAACTCACATCCCTCTCTTACTGTTTGTCAATACTTTGATTTTGGACTTGAAAGGGAAGCTTACATTCCTGCTATCCCACTGCTACCGAGACGAAAAATGCCCTCTGTGCATATCTAGCCTCCAGTACGAAGCTGTGGTTGAGGATTAAAAGGGATGTGGGAACAATGACAAAACTTAATGTACAAGCAGTATTTTCTGGAGAGCTTTTCTGTGGTTTTAGTTCATTTCCAAGCTGCAAGCATGACTTTTAAGGCAGACAGTGCTAGAGGGCCCTTTCCCATAGCCTAAACAGAGGTCTTGCTCCTCCTGTAGCCAGCAACTGTGACAACGTGCTATTTTTCATTGCAGACAACCAGCAAAAAAATGTCTGTGATTGCAGGCATCCTGAAAAGAGGGTCCTAAACAAACACGGGAGGAGGAAGTGACTGAAAGCCATGGCAGGAGGGAGCTGAAGGTGCAGTCCCTGGAGGGCCAGCACACAGCCTCCCCTCTGCCACTGCACCTTGGCAATCGGTGCGTTTGTCAGATGTGAACATCTCACGTTTTATCTTCCCATTTTCCTGGTCCTTCCTGCATGCTATGCCAATATCCCTCTCCGGACATACCCCTGGGATAGCTGAAACTGTCAGAAATACTTTATGCCCCCCAGGCTTGCTCGGACGCACCATCCTGCCAGCACCCCCGCTCTTCTGACCGGGACTGCGGCTGTCACAGCAGTCGGTGGGGCACGGTGGCTGTGATGCGGGCCGATCTCAAAGGGGCTGGAGGCATTAAAACCGCATTAAAAGGGCAGGTTTCTGCCCGGTGTGTGTGTCCGCTCCTGGCGGTGCAGGGCCACCAGAGCCCAGCAGGCGGCAGCCGGCCCCCGCACAGCCCACGCGTGTCCCCTGCTGCTGGGCTCGGCCCCACGGGCTGTTCCCCACGGAGGGGACAGGAGGGACTCGGTCCTGGAGCCTTGTCCGGGCAGGGCAGAGCTTGCTCCAGCTCCTCCTGAAGATACCTCCACGGAGGTGATGTCCAGGGGCTCCTGCAAGGCTCTGAGGAGGAGCACAGCCTGCCTCAGCCTGCCAGGAGCAAGGGGCTGCAGAGGGGCCCACGCTGCTGGGTCCAGCTCTGCAGCAGCACAGCCAACGACCTGGCACCACCGGCTTTAAGCTTAATAACACATGGAAAAAAGCTGTAAGGATGAAACATCCGGGCTGGAAGTCTGGAACTGGCAGCGCTACTGACGTACGTGTGGCATGAACGTGCTACCTGTGCCAGCATGAACGTGCGGTGCAGCGGGACTCAGAAACGCTCCCACAACACAGCCACGAGTTAGGCCTGCGCTCGACCATGGCTTACCCAAGTGCCAAGATCACACAGATAAGGCTGAAAAAAGCCAAGGAAAGGAGGGATGGCCGGCCTGAAAGTTGGCCCCATAAGGGCAGTCTCTGTGTCACCGTAACCGAGTACCAGCGCTGCTGGTGCGGATGGGGGAGAAGGGTGGGTGGTGACAGCTCAGAGGCTTCCTGAAGAAACTGGCTGATGAATGATGCCCTTAATTGCTCCAGCATGCTGTTGTAAATGGTCTTGTCTTCTTTCTCTTCCAGACTTGTAAGGTAGCCTATCATTTTGAATAAATATACATTAAATGCAGTTTTAACTTCTGTTCTAGCTATAG